TTTCAACTTAGCGGTTCTAGCGGCGAACGCTGACACTACAAGATATGTTAGCCTTAGTCCCTCCCGTGTGCCCCACCGTTACCAATCTACAGCCAAGTCTCTGTTTCCTTAGTACCACAAATTAAAATAGATAAGCAATAATATGGGAATGATTTTTAATTTGCTACTTTCTTGGGCAGTAGTTCCCGACACTTTTGGACCTAAGCAATGCAACTCTTGGGCCAAACTTTAAAATTTTATTTAGTTTTAAGGAGCAATGTCTAATAAACATAAAGTTAATTATTCAACGAAGAGCTGGTAGGAACTGGGGAGAGTAAAAGGCTAAAGTTACGGGATTTCAAATGTCCATTGTTGGATGGCTACAGCTGGTAAATTCACATGAAGTACCACTTACCAGACAGTAATTTTGGTTTTCTTTGGACTAATCTTGAATAGTTATACTATATGATAAGATATTACTATATTGCAATTTTCTTTTAATAGTGTTTCTAAGTAGGTTTTGATTATTGTTAGTTATTGTTAATCACAGGATAAATATGGTGAGAATTGACATAAATACATAAATAAATATTAGACTGTAAAACAAATCGTGATATTTATGTATGGTGATATCATATTATCTTACATAAAACAAATTGAATGAAATAACACGTATTAATTCACAGGGAGAAAATTTTTTAATTAATACAAAAACTTTTAACATTTTTTTAACTTTAAACTTTTTTTAAAGGTAAAACTAAAAGATAGTTAACTATTTCACAAACGTATTTTATGCTTCTTGACATATCAAATATACTAATCTAATATTAAACTACAAACGAGCTGTTGACCCGTCCTACGTACAGGAATTGAGTAGTGAACTAAAACTGAAGTTATATCATTATTTCTATTTCTAATCCAAGCAAAGTTCAAGTGGTTAAACATTTACTGTAAACAAAAAGCTGTCAAGCTGAATTAAAACATGTAAACATTGTTTATTCCCTATTCTTTCCTCAAAAAGTAGAACAGAAAAAAAATAATTTGCATTAGATTTCCTTGGCAGAGCCTCGATTTGTATACATCAGTGGTTATAAAATCTTACTTGTATCCTATAATCAATGGCAAAATCACGGAATAATAAACTAACCTGATAGTGTTATAGAATATTTTTATATTCAACCAGCTGTTATTAAAAAAAAATATATTGCACTAAAACAAACTTAAAATTCTAAAGACTGCCCATAAAATAAATTAGAACATCTAGCATTTTACCATGTACTGTATATTTAAATAGTCTGTCATCCTCTTACCCAATAAATGAACATATCAATTAGTATAGCATTCATTACACATAGTATAAATAAGTCAACCCTATGCATGTCATTATTATCCAAATGCTGAATTTGTATCACACACAGGTTTACAGCTGTTACGTTAAGCAAATGGTTTCATACGAAAATCTAGTGTAGAATGTTAGCGTCAGCTGCTAGAATTTTTAAAATTTTAAACTTATTTTCTAAAAAACTAAAACCCTAAACTAAAATTATGGCTTTGACATTCCCTAGCTCTCAAAATTATCTTCCTTTTTTAACACAAAAATCATGAAGATCCGTCAAGTGGTTGATTCAGAATCGTGAAATAAAAAAACCCTGTAAAGTTTTAATATATAAGATAACGTATTATTGTAAACGATAAAAACAATATTATGTTCATTAAATATAAACAAATTTAAAATTAATACTAGGTTAAATTGTACTTTATTATATGGCCATATTTATCAAACATTTCTTGGAATATGAGTTGTATTAAAAAAACAATGTAAAATTATAAATCTAATAACTACAGGCCTATATATTTTTGTATAATTAGATAGAAATATATTTTCTGGGCAAACATTTAGTGTAAAACGAAACTTAACTGATAAATATCATGAAACAATTGAATGTTTGTTAAACATAATTGCTTCCATGATTTGTTTGTTCATATTGTTTTTTTGTTTTTGTGTTGTTTTTCCATATTTCTTCTCACCCAGTTAATATCAGAATTATTTCTGTTTAATCCATAACTAAACATTAAAGATTGTATTTACTTAGGCATTGTTTACAAAAGTTATAATCGACCTAACCTTACGTTGCATTATTTCACGTTTTAATAAGTGTGAATGTGTTTTTTTTTTTTGTTTTTATTGTTTAAACGACATAAGGTTATCTATTGTGAAATTATTGTGTAAAATTCAACCCGTATACACTATATTTGTATGAACTTTTTCGTTAAATTTTGGCATTTACACCCTATAAGCTAATATGGCAAGACACTGTTTTCTCTGATCTTTTACCGTTAAAATCAGAACGATAATGTAAAACATAGCTGTTTCCGTGACAGATTTAACAATAAAAACTACATGGCACATTTAATTAGTGTGTCGTTGCAATCATAACAGATCCAACAGAATTTGTGTTTACTGTTTCCATCTGATGTAAATACGATGGAATTGGTTTCATATGAACAGATGACAAGAAAATAATTGTATCATGTCCATAACTAAATTTCCGCTTTTCCTGCAATTTTTTCTTTTATTCAATTATTATTGAATATTATAAAATTATCAACCATACATTTGGTATAATTGTAATGTTTACACATTACTTTTGACTAATGTAGTTTCTGTTGCATATTATATTTAAATAATGAAATTTAACATGTATTTATTTATTTAAGAACACATATATAGTCTTTTGTTGTTGGATATTATTCAAAACATTTAAGATATACAGATACTTTTTTCTTATCGTTTACTAGATACATCTAGTAATCAGTATACAACTATGAGTGCATAGTAAGAGATTTTAAATATTTTAACAGTAATAATTAATTTACAAAGTGTATGAATTTACAATGAAATCCATACAAAAACAAGTATGGTTTGAAGTATTTAAATACGTAGTTATTTGATGTTTACAAACAAAACCTAGCAAAAAATAGGCCTGGCCATTCAGTAATGGAAAAATTTATTTACTATATAATGTAATGTGTACTGTGTAGATAGTACTATAAAATAACTATATTCAAACTCTAGTGAGTTTGATCACAACATTTGTGTGATAATTACGTTACTAGCCCGGTAAGTGGTGTTTTACCGTGCGAGTAACGTACGATACTTTACATCATACTACACAGAAAAATTAGTACATTTTAAACTCATAACACAATTTATTTAAGAGAAAACATAGATAATAATATTTTTATATTTCAGAAAATAATATAGGCTGTTGCAATTTGCTGTTTATTTCATCAGCTGACTAAGCGCACAGTAAATCTACTTTCCAGACTATAATTACGGATGTATTAAATCAAATATTCCTTTATTGTCATTTATCATAATTACATGCATGGATTGTGTCACAATTTATAAAGAAAATACATAATAATCAATAACATAGATACACATTGTTGCAGATAACATCATGCCTAAAAAAGTACAACGTATTTATGATGAATTGTAGTTTACATAATCTTATATTGTTGATGTTTAAGATCCGCAGATAGTGACGGCGTGCGACAAATAGGGGAAAAACCACCGCATAGTAAGAAGATAAAAGGACTGTTTTGTCTGTGAAAGGAGCAAGGACACAAACACACGGGAATTCACCTTTTGGGAAATGTTGTCAGTTTGACATGAGAATTTTAAGTTTTCGTCAATGTGAAGCCCTAAAAATTATTTCAATTTGCTCTTAGAATACACTATGGTGTCGTCAATCCAAACACTGAGAACAGTGCGATGTCTTGAATAGTTACGTCCACCAAAGTGGTCTGCCCATTATTTATGACAAGACCATTGTCAAGGAACTATTGGACAACGTTGTTAAACTCAAGAAAAGTAGTAACATCCATGACACCGTGGGTGGGTTTATCAACAACAATTGACGAGTCATCGGAAAACAAACACAAATGGGCATCTGAAACACTATATCTGATGTCATTTATGTATAAGATAAATAAAATAGGTCCCAATATTGAATCCTGAGGCACCCCGGCTTTGACCAGCAAAACATCGGAATCACACTTTTTCAGAATGTTTTTGTCAATAAATGGCAATTGGACGACTTGTCTCCATCCCCTAAGATAAGAAGACAGCCACTGATTAGCCACACCTCGTATTCCAATGGTGTTAAGTTTTTCAAGCAAAAGATCGTGCGAAACCACGTCAAAGGCCTTCCGCAGATCGAAGAAGACTCCAGAATCAGCTTCACCAATGCATGGGTTGTCCAATGCATTTACAACCCTATTGATGATCCAAAACATATCATTAAAAGTAGGACCTTCTTTGTCGAATCCAAACTGATTAGGACACAAGACTCTGTTAAGGTTTGTGAAATTCAACAACGAGCTCAAAAAGGCCTTCTCGAAAACTTTGGAGAATGTTGATGTTATTGAAATGGGTCTGTAATTGCACATCACCTTTTTTGTGTACTCGTTTGAAATGAATGGTTGATGATATTCACCCAAGGATACACCAAAAATTCACGGCATGACTTGAGGAGCTTTGAGGATACTGTCACGGCCTGATGATGACCTAGTTTTCAATTACTTGATAATTTCAACTAACTCTTTCTTGGTTACTGGTGTCGAGAGGAATGGCTATTTATCAGAAACAGATTGTAAATCAGATATGAAATCCAATACCTACATCGCAAACAAAAACTATTGAACATATTGGAAACCAGTGCTGGATCACTTATATTTGAACCTCTATCATTCTTAATGTTTTTGAACGATTCAAAGAAGATTTTAATTCCTATACTTCTATTTTCATTTACGATCTCCCAAACGGTCTTTGTTTTATTAGAAGACTTTTCTATAATGTCCAACACCTTATAGGACTTGGCAGCCCTAATACGGTGCCTATACTGCCTTTTCGAGGAGAGAAAGTGTTGTCTCATGACATGAGAACAACAGATGACAAGTATCAAGTATCATATCCTCGTTCACCGGTCGAAAGCAGGTCGACACCATATTCCTAGACTTCTCCAAGGCCTTTGACAGGGTCAGCCACCCTCACCTTCTTGCTAAACCGTCGTCTCACGGGATCCACGGCCCATTGTTGGACTGGTTTTCGTCTTACCTCTGTGGCCGGAAACTGGTGGTGAAGTTTGCCTCCTGTACCTCAAGATCGTTCTCTGCTACATCTGGCGTCCCCCAGGGCTCACATCTTGGCCCTGTACTCTTCAATATCTTTATTAATGACATCTCAAGAGTCATTCATGTCAAGCACCTCTTGTTCGCTGATGACATCAAGCTGTATTCAACCATCAATTCAATCGATGACTTCTATGACCTCCAGGATAGTCTTTCTGCTGTGGAGAGATGGTGTGGCGAGAACTGTATGGCTCTGAACACTTCAAAATGTGTTATCATGACTTTTCACCGGACCTTGGCTCCCATATTCCACAACTATGGCTTGAATGGGTGCAACCTTGACAGAGTCTTCGAGATTAAGGACTTTGGTGTTATGTGCACTGCTTCCTTGAGTCCAGAAAAGCACGTACTCTATATAAGTGCAAAAGCAAATAAGAACTTAGGTCTTATTACCCGATATTCACGATCCTTTTCGTCACCATTGGCACTGAAAACCCTCTATTGTCACCTCGTCAGATCACATTTAGAATACTGCTCAGTAGTGTGGTCCCCCTACCAACTCTATCTTCAGGAGAGACTCCAGTCAATACAGACTCGGTTTATCCGCCTAGTGGGTCTTCGTCTTGGATACCGCTACGCAGATGTTCCAGTGTGCGCCTTGGCAGCTGTCTTGGATCTTCGTACGCTAGTGTATAGAAGGAAAGTATTCGATCTGATGTTCCTACATAGACTGGTCAACGGAGAGATACTCTGTCCGGAGTTGCTTGAGCGGATTAGCTTCCACGTCCCAGGAGGGGGTACCAGATCGAGGGAGCTGTTTGCTAGGTCTTATCATGCTACGCTCTATGAACAGCACAGTGCCATCGCTCGCATACAAGCCATGGGAAACTCTCTGCCACCTGAAATTGATTTCTTCAACTGTAACACCACATGTTTCAGGAGATTGATCAGCTCGCTTCCACTTGATTAGAGAAGATGACCTATCTCATTAACTTAATCTCTCACTAATTTGTTAAATCCTTTTTTATGTTTTGTTGTTCTCGTTGCTGTTTATTGTTATCTTAGTATTTATTGTTACATCATTGTTATTGTTTTTGTTATTTCGTTGTTGTTATTATTATTATTATTGTTATCGTTATTACGATATGCACTTTTGTTGTTATTTATACATGTTTGTTAGTCATCACTCATCAATTTAATTCAATAGTTGTAACACAAATTGTATCCTGTATGAAATGGTTTGTCCGTCAAATAAATGAAATAAGTAAATTATCAACAGTAGTGGAAAAGTACCTGTTTTGGTGTAGTATGATGTAAACTTTTAAAAAGTATTCTTGAACTATTGTTTTAGCAATTATTAAAATACTAATGGCCTTTAGATAGAGGCAAGGTATTGTTCACTTTGCCATTCCTTTTTTAAAACATAGCCGATTCATACTCAAATTGGCTTACCAATTGCAACATATTCTTAGTATTATCATTCACCTTTGCGCCACATCATAAGCTATAAAATTGCACTCGAGTCATAAAAACCGGTTAAGTAGGGTGGGCGAAAAAAAGGTTGTTATAGAAAAATCCTTTATTGTTTATTGTATTAGATGTCATTTTATATAATTTTTATCATACTACTAAATTTCGTATCGTTTTTCAAGATGTATGTCTGTAGGAACATACGTATAAATACAATAAGCCTGATACAAATTACAAGTAATTTAAATATGCACTACAATGATCTTATTCATTTAGAAAATATTTGATTATAAAGGATAGCCACAGAAAAATGTTAAAGTAAAACTTAAGTACCAACTTAACCAAACAGTACAGTAACTCGCACCAGAATGTTGATAACTTTCAACTAAATCATCGGTGACCAGTTTAGAACTGTAACTTAAGACCCAAGAGCCCATAAACGTCAGACTACAGTCAGGGCTAGAGTGGTCACGTGATACACTACATAAAGTGAATTCCTATACTTGTCCTGGCAAAAGATACGACAAGCATTGTAAACTGCCACAGAACTGATTAATCTCATGTTTAATCACCTAATACAAAGCTTATAGTTTTGATTGATTAGTCAATCAGTCTGACTCTAACAAAAATGTTGTATGTGCTTATGAATAATAGGAAATCCACATGGGTGAGTTTCTACTTAGCGTGTTAACTTCGCCAGTAGGTTCTACTCACTAAAAGGAACAAAAAAGGTCCTATAAACCCATGTCCGGTTTTCAACCGTTTGGCTGTAATAGGGGATTTTGTGTTTTTCTTATTTTATTAGACTTTGCTCCACAATTTATGTAATAAAAACTTAACCAATTACTTTAGAGAGTTATAGTTCAAATCATTGGAAAGAATATTAAATTTGCTATAAATTAAAGGTTTCATTCAACAACTATACCATTACATAGTCCACGTTATATCCAAAATAAAGTAAAAATGTCATTAGATTAATTAATTACGAAAATGTTCATGAGCCCACTTTGATACATAAACCTGCATTTATGCAATGTTGAAATACATAAAAAACTTGGTCATTTAATAATCTTTCAAATGATATGCTATTCAATACTATTATTGATATAAACCAGTGAGAAATTACTAATAAACTACAATAAAACACGGTTTACAGATTTTGTTTTTGCACAGTTTTACTGTTGATAATAATTACTGTATACTCCATGTTGTATTTTATTGAACAATCTGATAAGATTTGTACATTATTTTAACTTTTAAATATTTATTAAAATCATCTGAATTAATAAAATGTATAAACTCAAGGTTTTTCACATTTTCAAAGATGTAGGCCTAGTGTGTTTGATTCTTAAATGCTGTATAATTAGTTTTACCTTGTGCTTGATTAAGTCAGCTTTTATTGATTTGTCATCTATAGCTAGATAACTCAGCTGCTTAAACATACCTTGTTGAGTAATTTGCTGTTTTAACTTTATATTTCCAAGTCAATTAAGAGTTTTTGAACATTTATTAAACTATGGAGCCTTTTACCAATCAAGAGTATGCCAACATGATGAATACAGTAATTATTATTAACAGTAAAAACTGTTTCAAAACAAAATCTGTAGACCGTGTTTTATTGCAGTTTATTAGTAATTTCTCACTGGTTTATATCAATAATAGTATTGAAAAGCATATCATTTGAAAGATTATTAAATGGCCAAGTTTTTTATGCATTTCAACATTGCATAGATGAAGGTTTATGTATCAAAGTGGGCTTATCAACATTATCGTAATTAATTAATCTAATGACATTTTTACTTTATTTTGGATATAACGTGGACTATGTAATGGTATAATTTTTGAATGAAACCTTTGATTTATAGCAAATTTAATATTCTTTCCAATGATTTTAACTATAACTCTCTAAAGTAATTGGTTAAGTTTTTATTACATAAATTGTGGAGCAAAGTCTAATAAAATAAGAAAAACACAAAATCCCCTATTACAGCCAAACGGTTGAAAATCGGACAAGGGTTTATATGAACTTTTTTGTTCCTTTTAGTGAGTAGAACCTACTGGCGAAGTTAACACGGTCAGTAGAAACTCACCCTGTATTATTGAACTCCTAATGATTAAAACTCATTGCGTAGTGACGGTTATAATCATTGTTTAACAACTATCTGAAGTAGAAAATAATGCATTATGAACGATGGCAATAAATTTAATGCAATCAATACACAATTCTATAAAAATAAGATGCCTGGCAATACAGGATGAATAGTGAGGAAGATGTATTTTTTTTTTTTTTTTTTTCAATTTAGTAGTATGCGGGGGAAAGATTATTGTACACTTTTTGGGTGGGATACAGATTTTAAAGACATAAGGGATTCCACCCAATGGCATTAGTTGGATTATTATTGCATAAATACATAGTTAATAAAACCATCACCGTTAAAACTTTATGTATTATATCTACAATGTTTTCTAAGGCTAACATATTGTACACCTGCATTTTGCTATAAACAGCATTTTGTTAATATACTATTCAATTTATACGATATGAAAAAAGTTTATGAATAAAGTAAAACATTGTATAACCTTGCTTAAATCTAATTCTTTTCAAACACAAGTAAGAATTAATGTACTCGGTAGGTAAGTGTATCTAATGTAATGATGCTGAAATACAGGAACAGTTAGTTACGGTCATCGTCGGTGATATTTATGATCTACTATAATACAGCAATAACGACCTCAGTAGACTATCGTTATTGCTCTTGTATTTCTGTATTTATTGTTTTCATATAACTTATTATTAGAAAATTATATATTTATACAAGACAAACAAAACTTTTAAATACGATTACTTAGAATAATTTCCTAAAATTAGCCAATATCGTTAATTGTAAAATGTCACTTAAGAGTGTACGTTCGATCACTGTAATTTCATAGACAAATTATTTTTACTTAATTTCTTGCGCCCCGGTATTAGAAATTTTACTGTGAAAATTGTTTTTTATTAATTTGCTAAGGACCAAGACGTAAACCTATTGTACCTTGTGCTTTAATTTTAGTAAAAGATTTCTCCATCGAATAGAAAGTTCTTATCGCAATAGTTATTTGTGTAACTAGTGGGCAAAGGGGCACTTTGCTGCACACGAGAGCAATGTTTACAATTAATGAATGATCTCGAGTGCAGCAAAGGCCTTTTGCACTCGTGTTACACTATATTTTTCCTACAGTCACTATAAAGCATATAAATAATTAGTCTTTCAAACATTATACAACACATTTTTAGGTTCAGCTGGCAACACAAATAGGTGCCCTAGAGAAAGTAGTACTCGGTCCGTATCACTCCGCTATTTTTTCCTCGGCAAGAAATGTGCTCCGCGACTAGAAAGTTCAGAAATACTGAAACTATAAACACGAAATGACAGGTTAAATCGTAGGTATAATAGTCAATCAGCTGCTCATAGTTGAGCGGAGCAAGCGAAGCGAGCGAAGCTCTTATACGTCGACTTTTATGCATTTCGTAATACGCAAACTCCTCCTAGACGGCTGAATCAATCGTTTTCAAATTTTGGATAGTGATAAAGACCATATCGGTGAGTGCCAACATCTATATGGCGTTGAAAATAACTCTCAGGAATCCGCCCCACTGGGTCTCAAAGTTTCAATGTAATCCTTATGGAAGCAGTATTTGACACATAAAAAAAGACATATGATCAGCTGTTGACTTTTGAATGCAGTAAATAAGAAATAGCTGATAGCATTATTCCACAGATATTAGAACAGAAACGGTATGAATCATAAATATAATCAAATGACGACACTAGCTTGAGGTCCGTGACGTAGGAAGTGCTAAAGGAAGTACTAAAGGTGAGCAGTCTGGAGTGTGGAAACTGTTTATGACGAATAGATTAAGGTATCTGCATTCCAAAAACTATAAGGGAAGGGAGGAAAAAGGGTCCGCGACGTAGGAAGTGATGAAGGAAGTAGTCAAGGCGAGCTGTCCGGAGTGTGGGATCTGCTTATGACCATTATATTAAGGTATTTGCAATCCTATGATGCTATGGGAAGGGAGGAAAACAGGTTCGTGACGTAGGAAGTGGTGAAGGAAGTAGTAAAGACGAGCTGTCCGGAGTGTGGGATCTGCTTATGACCATTATATTAAGGTATTTGCAATCCTATGATGCTATGGGAAGGGAGGGAAACAGATCCACGACGTAGGAAGGGGTGAAGGAAGTAGTAAAGGCGAGCAATCTGGAGTGTGGGAACTGTTAATGACGATTAGAATAAGGTATCTGCAATCATAAAATACTATGGGAAGGGAGGAAAACGGGTACGCGACGTAGGAAGTGATGAAGGAAGTAGTCAAGGCGAGCTGTCCGGAGTGTGGGAACTGTTTATGACAATTAGATTAAGGTATCTGCAATCCTAAAATGCTATGGGAAGGGAGGAAAACAGGTCCACGACGTAGGAAGTGGTGAAGGAAGTAGTCAAGGCAAGCTGTCCGGAGTG